CTGCTCCGGGCTGAGGTGGGCACTGGCCAGGCTCGGGGCCGGGGAGGCGAGGGTGGGCCGCCCACGGCTCACACTGTCCCTTCCCTGCGCCCGCAGTCCTTCTTCCACACCGTGCTGGAGAACAGCCTGGCCTGCGGTGCTTGCCTGGGCCCGGAGGCTGCCCCGTGGGAGGCCTTCACCATGAGCTTCCGGGGGTCAGAGAGGTGGGTGGGCCTGTCAGAGAACCTGGGGGTTTCCACCTAGAGCAGCCCTTGGGGGCCTGGGGCTACCCTGGCAGCAGGAAAAGCCCCAGGAGGCTGATTTCCAGGCAGTGCTGGGAGAGGCAGGCCCCTGCTGTGCTCAGCCAGTACCTCCAGGGCCCTTTACCCTCCTTACCTTTGCCGCCCCAGCAAGTCTCCAGACCCACCTTCTTCGCCCGGAAGTTTGAGTCGACTGTGAACCAGGAAGTTCTGGAAATCCTGGACTTCCACCTGTATGGCAGCTACCCGCCCGGCACGCCGGCTCTCAAGGCCTACTGGGAGAACACCTACGACGTGGCCGACGGCCCCAGTGCGCTCAGCGATGTCATGCTCACCGCTTACACCGCCTTCAGCCGTCTCGGCCTGCGCCATGCCGCCACCGCCACTCCCTCCCTGGCCACGGCACTCTGCAGGTGAGACCCCCTGCTGACAGACAGCAGGCCCTTAGGGAGGCCAGTCAGAACCAGCCCTTGCCCACAGCAAGCCCCCAGTCTGAGGCAAACTCAAGAAGGATGGCAAGAGCCAGGCACGTAGATGCTGTGGGGTGTGAGATCTGGGGAAAGGAAGTGCCTGGGGATGGGACTCCCCAGATCCCCTCCCTGGGATGCCAGGGTGTGCTGATGGCATCTCCCTTTCTCCCCGCTGGAACCTTCTTAGGTTTGAGCCCAGGGGCTTGCCCTCCAGCGTGCACCTGTATTTCTATGACGACCATTTCCAGGGCTACCTGGTGACGCAGACGGTGCAGCCCTCAGCCCAGGGCCCAGCAGAGACGCTTGAGATGTGGCTGATGCCCCAGGGGTCGCTGAAACTGTTGGGGCGCAGTGACCAGGCCAGCCGGCTCCAGAGTTTGGAGGTGGGACAGGCCCTCCCTTTTGATTTCTCTTGACCCCCAGTAAGATCCAGGGTAGCATGAGTAGAGGGACAGTTGGCAGGGAAGGGGTAAGGACTTGGTTAGGCCTTTGTGGACTGGGTTCACTGGACTCTTCTGTGCCCGCTGGGCAGCCTTGGTGACATCCCCATGCAGACATGCCCGTGTTGCCCCCGCATTGCATGCACACGCACCTCCCCCGTAGGGCACACGGAGGGCATGCGCTGAGCAGGGTGGGGAGCTGCGGGTCTGCAGTGCAAGCCTACTCTTCCAAACTTTGGGGATTTTTTTTTTTTTTTTCAGAGGAACTCGGGACATTCCAGTTGGCCACAGGGTTAAGCTTTTCTTAGAGGCGTTGGCTTCATGTGGGAATGGCCCAGATCAGGGCTTAGAGCCTCCCCTCTGACTCCCTGTCCCCACCACTGTAGAGCAGCTCAGAACAGAAGCCCAGAATGAATCTCAGAGCTGGGAAACAGGAGTAAAGACCTCTGAGTCCAATTCATTTTGCAGATGGGAAACTACGGCCCAAGGCAGTGACTGGACTGAGGGTGTGTGGTGAGGAGGCAGCAGCAGAGTAGAGAGAAGGCCCTTTCCTCAGGCTCCTGCCCAGCTGCCTCCCTCCCTACAGGTTGGCACCGAGTGGGACCCCAAAGAGCGTCTTTTCCGGAACTTTGGGGGGTTGCTGGGGCCGCTGGATGAGCCTGTGGCTGTGCAGCGCTGGGCCCGGGGCGCCAACCTCACAGCCACTGTGGTCTGGATCGACCCAACCTACGTGGTGGCCACGTCGTACGACATCACAGTAGACACAGAGACTGAGGTCACGCAGTACAAGCCTCCACTGAGCCGGCCCCTGCGGCCGGGGGCCTGGACCGTGCGACTGCTCCAGTTCTGGGAGCCCCTGGGTGAGACCCGCTTCCTCGTGCTGCCCTTGACCTTCAACCGTAAACTACCTCTCAGGAAAGGTAAGGATCTGGGAACCAGCAGTTAGCGTAATGGCTATGTCGCTGGACTCCCATGTAGTCGACTGCGGTTCGCGTCCCGGACCTGGTGGCTTAAAACTCACGCTGGGCGCGTGTGCGTGCGTGCCCAAGATCCCAAGAGGAGAATGGAGGAGAAGGGATTGCGGCGTGACCATTCCCCCTGGGGGGTGATTTCTCGCTTTCTCTATGTCTCTGTCTGGCGAGCGCACGCGCCCTATAGCAAAAAAATCCTCTCCCCTCAAAAAAGGGAAGGGTAAGGATCTAGCTCCCAAATGATGGCCACAACCAGGATAGAGTAGGACTCACCAGAGAGGTGACCCCAGGAAGGTGACCATCAGAGCTGACTCCATCCTGGGGAGGAGAAAGGGAAGACAGATGCCTTGATCTGCTCTCGGCATGACGCCACCTGGTCCTGTGGCGTGGTGGAGAGAGCGGTTTTAGAGATGGCCTTTGCTTCGGAATGCATCTGACACTTCTGTCAAAGCTTTTTCTTTTTCTTTTTCAAATTGCCAGATGGCATGTGCATTCACCAGAGACAGAGTGGGAGAAGACACCCCTAATGGGGCATGATCACGCCACCGTCTCCTCTCCATTTCTCCAACCCGTTGGGATTTGGGGTGCAGACACATGTGCGAATGTGCACACCCAGTGTGTTTTTCGAGCTGTCTGAGCCGGGAGTCTGACACCTTAATTGGGCTTTTATCCTTGGAAATTGCTTGGCTTGGCCTTACAGCATGTAAAGTAGGAGCAGTGCAACTCTCAGAGGCCTCCTGGGTGCACGGAACATGAATCCATTCGGACGAGTGCAAATAATAAGAGGGAAAATTATTGGGAGACTGCAGCGCTCAACCCACGGGGCCAGGAAGTCACGGGAGCAAAGGTGTTTTCTCCACCTCTGCGGCCTCTTCTCCCTTGTCTTTCTGCGTGTCGGCCTCAGGCTCTGGTTCTGTTTTTCCATACATGGCCTATCAGTGCAACAGAGGTGGTCCTCAAGTTCCGAGTGGGGACAGCAGATGTGGCCAGTCACTCCGGGCCCCTGTGTGGTCGGTGGGCAGGATCACATGCCCGTCTGCCTGCTTGGCTGAGGCTGAGGGAGCAGACTGAACAGAGGCCCAGGCTGGGCAGCTACTCCTGCGAGAGGCTGGGGCTCAGTGGGTGAGCGGAGGTGGCTGGTATATGCAGCGCGTGCTTACTGGGAAGGTGCTCCCTCCCTCGCCCCCAGTCACAGGAAGGTGGTAAGAACAGAGGGAGCCCAGAAGTGGGGGGTGCCAGGAGACAGATCCACAGCAGCGAGCCCTGTCCCCTGCCCTCCCGGAACTCAAGCCTAGTGTGGAGGACGGGAAGGATGGCGGCCAGCCTTGCAGCATGAGGTCTGGCTGCTCCACAGGGACTAAGACAGAGAAGCAAGTATTGAGCTGAGGGAGATGGGGTGAAAGGGCAGGAGGGTGCGGAGGGTGGTGGAAAGAAAGGCCAGTGAGGCAGGCAGAGCCCCACAGCTCAGTGGCCGGAGTGCTGGTGTCCGAGAGCCGGGAAGCACGGTGATGGTCAAGAAGGGGTGTGGGTAACACAAACCAGGCTGGTACCAGAAAGCAACCTTATTTTCTAAATCACCTTGAACTTGCCATTTCACTTAATCCTGAAGTTGGGAAATCAGGGATTACTGCTTATTCCATAAAACTAACGGTTTTACAGGGACAGGAAGTTCCTTGGATTGAGGACCTGCAGACAGCGTAATAGTTACGTTGCTAGATTCATACATAGTTGACTGCGGTTCAAGTCCTGGATGCAGCGACTTAAAACTCATGCTGGGCACATGTGCATGCGAGCCCAAGATCTCAAGAGGAGACTGGAGGAGAAGGGGTTGCGGCGTGGCTATCCCCCCAGGGGGTGATTTCGTTCTCTGGCGAGCCCATGCACCTTATAGCAAAAATTTCTCTCTTAAAAAAAAAACCAAAAACCAAAAAAACAAGTTCCTTGTATCAGCCTGTCACACAGCAAGATGTGACTGGGTGGTAGAGTTGGGACAGGAACTGGGGTACCCAGACCTGGCTCTCAGGGTCTGGTCCCCACGGAATTTGTTGAGTGGGGTTTGCTTACTGTCTGCTCTGCACCCCCAGACGATGCCAGCTGGCTGCATGGGGGGCCACCCCACAACGAGTACATGGAGCAGAGTTTCCAGGGTCTGAGCAGCATCCTGAACCTGCCTCAGCCAGAGCCGGCGGAGGAGGCGGCCCGGCGGCACCTGGAGCTCACGGGCCCAGCCCTTGAGGCCTGGACAGATGGGGAGCTGAGCGGCTTCTGGTCCGTGGCTGGACTGTGTGCCATGGGGCCCTCTGCCTGCGCCTCCCTGGAGCCCTGCAGACTGACCAGCTGGAGCTCTGTGTCCCCTGACCCCAAATCAGAGCTGGGGCCCGTCAAAGCGGATGGGCGACTCAGGTAGCAGGGCCCCAGCCAGCCCCCGACGGAGGACTGGGGGAATTGCACCTTACAGACAGTGGAAGGGATTCCCTCCCACAGGCGAGAACCAGAGGCCCGGCAGCACCCCCATTTCAGCCATCGAGAACCCGCACCGACGGCAGGGAAGGTGAAGGCAGCATTAGCTACTGCCAACGGCTCAGCGAGGGGCCAGAGGGTTGGTGGGAACGTGAAAAGGGTTCAGCGGCGTTCCATGCCCGGCTCTTCCTCACCTTCCTCCCTAGTTTGTATTTTTTTAAAGAAATTATTAATAATATTTAAAAAGGAAAAATGGGTGGTGGGGGGAAGAACTAGAAACAGAAGTTGTGCAATAGGGCTCAGAGCAGCCCCAGGAAGTGGGCCATGGCTTGGGGAGCAGGGGCCAGCTGAGCCGTATGCTACTGCCCTGGATGAGGTGGGGCCTGGGCCTCGTCCCCCAGCCTGGGCCTGTGGTGCTCATGGCCAAGGCTCTGTGGGGCCTTGCCAGACTCTGAGGCCCAGAGAACAGGTGACTGGGCCTCTTCAGAGCAGGGCTCTAGCAGGTCAGCCTCTCCTCTTGTAGCCAGGGGACCCAAGGAGGCAGGGGCTGGCTCTAGGGCTTTCTCTCCAGCATACTCTGCCCCTTGATGGGAGAGGCATCAAGGCCTCCTGAGGCCAACGCAGAGCTTCCAGGCACTCCCAGGTGTGCCCAGAGGGTAAGCCCTCGTGAGCAGCGTGGGAAGGCGACGAATCAGGGCTCTCAGCAGAACGCAGAGTAGCATTGTGCCTCAAGCTCAGTGTGAAGTCTGAAATATGCAACAGAAGAAATATATGTCTATCTCTACACCGTGCCTCTGTGTTTTCCCTCCTGGATGTCAGGGCCCCATCACCGTTTGGTGGGCTAGCTTCTCCCAGAAGTCTTCCCTGGCACTGTGGCAGCCTCCGGAAGATGAAGGTGTCATTCCCCCAGGGCAGAAACAAGTTAGACTCCATTTAATCCAGATTCCTCTTCTGAGGGACTAACAGGTTCACACAGCCTCAGTCTTCCTTGTGTCCACCCAACGATGGAACAGCAGGACATCAGCTTAGTACTTGGGAACGCTGCCCCAGCACTTCCACCCCTGCCACCCCTGCCACTAGCCGGGTTGCAGCAGATACTGGCTTCTCTGTCTTCAGCATCACCAGGGCCCATCCTAAAGCCTTCATCACTTTTGCTTCTGTCCAACCTTGCCTTATGGTGTACCTTCAAGAACAGGCAATCCCAGCCATGACCTGGTGGTTACCGTTGGAGCGTGTCCCTTGAGGGACAGGAGCAGCAATGGCTTAGGTTCCTGGCCACTGCCCTGGGACCTAGGAGGGTCATCTTGAATAGGTTTGTCCGTCCTCCTCCCTTGTCAGTCCTTCACTCCTTACTCAATGTAGTAATAGAGAGTGAACCTTTAGGGACCAGCAGATGATGTAAAGGTTACATTGCTAGACTCTCACATGGCCTACTGTGGTTCAAGTCCCAGATCCAGCAGCTTGAAACTCAGGCCAGACACATGTGTGTGCATGCCCAAAATCTCGAGAGGAGAATGGAGAAGGTATTTGCAGCATGGCCATCCCCCCAGGGGGTCTGTTTCTCTGGCGAGCACACGTACCCTTATAGCAAAAATATCTCTGAAAAAAATTTTAATTAATTAAAAAAAGTGAACATCTCTGGATCTCTGTCTAAATCACCCTGTGGCCAGCTGCACTGACTTTGAAGGACAAAGGCCTCAACTCCTGCCCAGGCTGCAAGAGCAGATCATCCTAGCTGCCAGCAGAGGGCACTCCTGACTACCAATAACAGCAATGCAATTTTTTGGGTTGGTTTGGCCACTTTGCTGTTTTTTTTTTTTTTTCCCCCACAGGGCACATGTGCTCATGGAAAAAGCTGCTGATCTTGCAGGCAGTATCTCACTTAATCCTCATAATTCCTGGAGGCAGGCACTTTTATTATTATCTCCTTTTTGCAGATCATAAATTGAGGCTTGGGATCAGCAGTTAGTGTAATGGCTATGTCACTAAACTCCCATGTAGTCGACCATGGTTCAAGTCCCAGACCGAGTGGCTTAAACTCATGCCAGGTGTGTGTGCATGCATGCCCAAAATCCCAAGAGGAGAATGGAGGAGAAGGGATTGAGGCGTGGCCATCTCCCCTGGGGGGTGATTTCTCAATTTCTGTCTCTCTGTCTCTGTCTTCTGTGAGTACATGCACCCAGGAGCAAAAACCTCTCCGGAAAAAAAAAAAAAAAAGGAACAAAGAAAGAAAGAAAATTATTGAGGCTTGAGCCCAAAGTCATAGCTAGCTATTAGTAGCAAGTTTCAGAGGGAGGCAGGAAGCACCCAGAGCCACTCTGTCACTACATTCCCCTGCTCTCATAGGATGGCCTGGCTGTACCAGTAACCAGAAAGGGGTAATTGCAAAAACTCAGAGGAAATGGTATTTTGGTTCCAAGGTTAAGATCATTATTGCGTCTGGCTCCTGTTTTACTGAACATTTAAAGCTGTACTCTGGCTCTCTGCAATGTTAGGGTTTTTGTTTTGTGTCCTAACATCAACTGTTAGGTCAGCACAAAGAAAAATGAATAATTGGATCCAGAACATTAGGCACAGGCAGTAAATACCGGGACGTTTAGAGCCGCTGGCTGGGAGCTCACAGCCAGCTGCAGGTCTGTGGCTGGGGGGTCTGTGGCTGTGCTGTTAGACTAACACAGCAGCATTTGGAGTATGGCTTTTTTTCTTAGGTGGGCCTGCACTGTCTCATCCTCTTCCAGTCCTCACCTGGTTGGACCTGATTATCATCGCTGTAAACATCTTTTTTTTTTTTTAAAGAATTACATATTTCATTTTTTAGTTATTCATTCATTTTTAAAATTTGACCAGAGAAAGACACAGAGAAAAAGAGAGAGAAACTGAGAGAGTAAGCCACCAAGTCCGGGATTTGAACCGTGGTCGGCCCTATGGGAATGTCCAGCGCCTTAAACACTATGCCACCTGCTGGCCCTAACACTGTAAACATCTTAAGATTCTTTCTCTTTTTCTGAGAGATTTTTGGTACGGGGTACGTGTGCTCACTAGAGAGACAGACAGAACGCAAGAAATCACCCCTCAGGATGGTCACACCACAATTTCTTCTCCATTCTGCTAGGGATCTTGGGTGGGCACACACACACACACGGGCCTGGTCTGATTTTCAAACTGCTGGGTCCCTTCTCCATTCTCCTAGGGATCTTGGACAGACACACACGGGGCCTGGAGCGATTTTCAAGCCTTGAACTTGAATTGCAGTCAGCCATGAGGGAGTCCAGTGCCTTAACCACCACGTCACCTGCTGGCATGGTGGTTAAGAGGAGTTTGCATTCTTATTTAGCTGGGTGGATGACAGGATTTGGATTTGGATTTAACTGGTCTGAGGTGGCACCCCAGAGAGCATGTATGTGAAGCTCCCAGGTGGTTCGTTTGCAGGCAAGAAGGGATGGCCAGCCCCATCCCTGCTGCTCTGGCAGTTTGTCTGTTAGAGGCTCCAGGACTCCACAGGTGCAGGTGCAGGTGTGAGGTGGAGGCCCTTCCCTCTCATCCTCCCCCCTGTTTGGGTCACTGAGGCAGGTGCCAGGCAGCTTTCCTCACCTATCTTCTGCAAGGTCAAATCAGTCTGGAGTTTTTTGAGGCTTCTTTGAAGTCCACTGGCTAGGACCCTGGAGTCAAGATCTGGGTTCTGGCCAGGCTAGACATGGAGTAGGGGTGGGGAGCGCCCCCCACACACACACAGGCTGGTTTCCCGGGGGCTGCATAATTGCCTGGGAGGGAGGAGAAGAGCCTTGGCGAGAGGCTTTGTCTTTTGTGGCCTGCATGCCTGGTTGCCAGGGCAACAATGGACCCCACAGTTCCATTAGCGGTGGGAGCCAAGACCAGAGCACAACCAACTGGCATGCAGAGCCCAGTCACCTGGGAAGTGGAGGTGGGCAGACTCAGGCAGGAGGGATCAGGCCAGCAGGAGCTCTCCTGGCTCTTTGGGCTGAGCAAAGCCAAACCCCTCTCCTGAAGGTTGTAGGGGCACCCTTATGACTGCCAGGCATACAGAGGAGCGTGCCATCTGGGACTCCAGGACAAGCAGGGGCAGGAGGCCGAGAATCTGCGGAGCTGCTCATGGTTGCCCCAGTTCCGAATGATGCTGTTCCTCTGGGCCAGGGCTCCTGGGGTGGGGCTGTCACACCAGGGGGAGGGCCGACTTGCACCTACTGGCCACCCTCAAGGCCGATGCCTTCCTTGGCACCTCCAGCTGCTGCTGCTCTGTGTGCAGACCACACCATGGACAACGGCCTCCTGGCCATCACCGTGGCCACTGGTGAGTACTTCCTGCCATTCCAAGGCCCAGGGTTGGGACAGAGGCATCCTTGGCCTCACACCATAGGCCGGAAGCCCAGCCTCTTCATCTGTATAGTCACCTAGGCAACAGCTGTCCCCAGGCCACTTGGGAAGAATGTCTTGTATTCGTATGTACGACCCCAGAGGTCAGAGTAGGTTTCTCGCTGAAAGTGGAGCGGTTGGAGTTCAGGCTCTGGGTCCTTTCCTGTCTCCTTAGATCCAGTGTCTGCAGGTGACTGCTCCTTTCCCTCCACGTCCATGTGAAATCTCCCACTCGCCTCTCCCTCCCTGTGCTGAAGGAAGAGAGGACACAGCCGCTGCTCTCCCTTGCAGGTCACGCCCCGGCAGTTGGTGCAGCAGCAAAAGGGAGCTGCCTGCGCCTCAGGTTTGCTCTGCTGGTCTCTTCGGCGGCATGGCCACTCCCACACCCACCTTGGAGTGAATCTGTCTGGGAGGTGGTGGCCCCTGCATGCCCAGCCATGCATGCCTCACCCCGTGTTTGTTTGCAATGGCCATCCTGCTGCTGCTGCTGTGCAGCCGAGACCTGCATTGTTGCCTGTTCTTTTAAGAGCTCCCACACTCATCAGCCCCTTGTCTTCATGCCCCTAACCCTAGTGGGACAAAGGACACCTGAGCTCTGTCTCTGGCTGAGCAGCAGTTGTTCAGCTGGAAGGGGCCGCTGGGATCTCTTTTCTGATGAACTCTGCACCTCCCAGCCTGGGGTCAGGGCAGCAATGTGAGAAGGGTTAAGAACATTCAGCCAGCCAGGGCCAGCAGGTGGGCACTTCTGTGCACTCCCCCACCGCCCCCCACTACCACCGCCATGGAAAACAGAGGAAAAAAACCTGTAGTGTGGCCATCCCCCCCCCCCCCCCGGGCGGGGGAGGC